ATGGAGGTGGATTCCACTGATTGTCATGATCGTTTTGGAAGCAATCAGTGTGATTGCTCATAATGCGGAATGCTGTGTGATTCACCATGGAGAACTTTTGATCAGCAGGCTCATTTATATGCATCAATATTCATGAGGTGCTTTGCATTCACCATTTATGGTTGAATGTGGGCGTGCAGAGGGCGGGATGTGAGGCTGATCCACATGTGGGATCCACATGTGCACATTTCCAGGTGGACTGTGATTTATAAAGGGAACACTGCCAGCAGGTGTGTGAACACTGCTGACACTTTTAGAAGTCCGATTTTCTTCTTTGTCGCATGCCATTTTTGGCTTTTGTGTACACGTTTACTTTTAGTATGGATCCTACACGCTGTATTATCAAGGAGACCCCTGGTGAGCATTTGTGGCTGTCAAAATAATAACTAAATAAATAATAAATACATTTTGTTTTTTTGCAACCAGTGAACAGCAGTGTTCACTGGCAGTGACGTAGAGACTCTGTATACATCTCTGGTAGAGACCTGTCAATCACTGTGTAGCCCTGCCCTAAAGCATCCCCTGCTTTATGGTCTGTGTGACTCTAAATGGACCATAATGTACTAAATGAACATCATGCTGTATTGAAGAAGACTTGAAACTAGAGATTGAGACCATAAACTCATGTTTACAATGTTTACTGAGGTAATAAATCAAGAGAGAAGTAGAGTCATTTTCTCATAGACTTCTATACAACCAGAGGAGTCGCCCCCTGGTGGACACTAGAGAGAATGCAGCTTTAACACATGAAGCTTTGGCTTCACTTTTTAGAACTGGAGATTGCCGCCTCCTTTGGACACACTCTCAATACATGTTAATAGATACATTCATTGTTGGTGTGGCTGTGCACATAGTACTGGTTGATGAGAAGATAAATATAGAATATCATTAGCCATATACTGTGATGAGTACGAGCAGCATTTTGAACCTGTTAGCTCAGAATGTAAAAGCAGGTATTGAGAGAAGGGAGCACTAAATTGCCCTTTTAAGAATTACAAGCTTGTATATGGAACAGATTAGTAATACAGTATACAGTAACCGGAACCTAATGTATCTGTTGCAGAGGATTATGTCACTCTACTTGAGTACAACATGTGGGACTATTCTCTCTGCTAGTAACTGTTTTTAAATGTGACGGGCACAGAAAGCAGCGTGTTCTGTTCGGCTTTGTGTGAGCATCTGTAAACGGCTCATAGTCCACCCTCCAAGCCATGATGTTGGGTGGCAGCAGCACACCCGGCAGCCCCTCCCCCACCTCCTTCATCTCTCCCCGTCTCATTATTGCCACACCTGACAGACTGCTATAATTGATTGTGCTGAAGGAATTACGCCAACTGCCTCTGATGCGCAAGGTGCTTAAGTTCACGTCTTCCGACACATTAATATGGAAATCCCTGTAAACTAAATGATATTTGTCCCCCTTTTTATGCAAATGTTTTCGAACCGAGCCAGTTATCACTTTGATGTTTTACTTGGAAGAGCTTTGTTTTGAGCCACATGTTCTTGGCCGGGTGTTCTGCTACCAGTGATGCACTGCATCCAAGATACAGTCCCTCTAACCTCTATTACAAAGGCCTTTAATGTTGCTCTGTTGTGGGGCTTCTTCTTCGTGCTTTGGTATTTAAGGAGCGTTTGTGCTCTACCTCTAAGCTTACTACATAAGGCATGCCTTTTATAGTCATGTATTTTTAATGGCCACAAAATGACTAATATGCACTATAATAGGCTTGTTAATAACTGTTACTGTTAGGGCTAGACCTTTTCAGGGGAGACCCAGATGGGACTTTCGCTGCTGCAAACCTTCGGCAGCGAAATCGCACCAAAAATGAACTGGATCCGGTTAACAATCTTTATTTAATAAACGAGAAGCTATAACAGTTGCAAACTGAATTACTCTATCGATATCAATATGTCCCACGGGGCAGAGTTCTCATAAGGCCCACCTAATAGCCCAGCCCAGCTGGTCAACTACCCAGAGTGGTAATGGCGCGAACTCTGGCAAAAACCCTCTGGAACTAAGCCTATATTTAAAAGTCTCTGTCCGAAAGTTTAAATGTCCAGTATCAGCCTCTGTGATTGGCCGAAATTCAATCGCCCCTCCTGGCTTCTGGCAGTTATCATCTCAGTGTTTGGTTGAAGTCGTCCGGACTCCTCCTCCTGTGACCTGCTGGTCAGTTGTCCGTCCCTCTGTTCTCTGCTGCATCTCTGTAAAGCCTCACTCAAAATGTTCCCTTTCTGACCCTCAAAACTAATCATACAGTGTTTTAATACCTTTAGTGACTATACTTCTATGGTTTAATACATTCAATGAGTAAAATACTGTAACATAATATCCTCTATAAGTAAGAATATTGTAAACGTATAATACATTCCATAAGTAAACATATTTTGACATTCTTATTATTGTGACACTTCTACTCACCACTTGGGGTGTTATTAAATCCTACTAATAATGCTTTTAATACTGAAATCCTTCACATTACCTAGCCAGATGCAGACACATCAGGTTGTCAAACACATTCTCTGTTCTGTTCTCCTCTCACTGGAGTTCAGAACTGATCATATGTGTATGTAATGAAGGAGCTCAAAGTGATAAGCAGCATCCTCTGCGCTTCCTCTTTTAGCTTGTTGTTTGGGTTCTTCGGCCTGGAAAGTCTGGTCTCATCATCCTTGTTTGCAGCATTTAGTTTACTCTTTTCAGTTGTAAAAAGCTCTGATAAACCCTGGAAGTGTCAATAAGCCAATGTTTGCTGCCATGTTTGCCCATAACTTCATGAAGTGATAATATGAGTGATAGTTCTGCTGCTGTTCATGCAGCTTTAGGATGCACAACCTGTTGTTTGTCTCAGTTTACTGCTGATGTTTTGAAGCTCAGCACAGTTCATAGCAGCATCCCGTAGTACTGTCAGTAGTATTATAAACAGAATCACCCTTTCAGTGTTATATTATATCTGTAAAGTTAAGAGACTATTATGACTAATGCATTAACGTCTCAGCAGCATTTTGCATGTCGAGTTGGTGACATTTTTTCAATGTGATGTACTGTACAACAATAGATCATATTTTATTATACTCATTCAATATTTTGAATTTTGAATTCCTAAATTCTTCAGTGGCTTGAAATGTAAATGATCAGGCAGCATACCTGTGACTCGGTTACTTTGTTTTGTGGCACAGGCTTCCTCCTCTACACTTGTAGTCCCTCAGGATCCGTTTGGAACTGATGACGTCATCAGGCTTATTCTCTCACATTCTCTCAGACCTAATGAAGAAGACATCATACTACTGTTTTGACTGTCTGAGTAGTACTCCTCGGGACGAGTAAACAGCTCTATCCTTTGTGTGTAACATTGGGGGGAGAACCCCTTTGAGGTGAGCAAAACCAGTGTGAGGCCACCATTGATGGGGTTTCTCTGATAGATGGTTAGTGAGCCTTATTGAGCACTTATTGTATTCATATTAGTTTGTTTCTGCACTGTACTTCTGGTTTATGCTCTTACATGCTTGTGTAAACAAGGAGATGCACTCATGACTTCTGGTGACTAGTAGTTCTCTTGAACACCATGTTGAATACACTTATTGTAAGTGGATTTGGATAAAAGCGTCTGCTAAATGACTGTAATGTAATGGTTAGAGATACAGTTCTTTATTAATACCTATGGGAAATCGTGTTGTTTCAGCAGCCAAACAAAGCCACAGAAGACTTCAGAGGTCACCACAGCATCTCATTGTAATATTGTGCTCTATTAATTAGGTTATATTCAGCTCATTACCCATTCTCCTTGGGCTAATTGTAAATCACAATGATTGTAAGTTTCTATAAATTGTTCTGATGTCACAGACTTATTTGAAACATGGATTCTTCATCTCGTTTACAAACTCCTCGTTAACAGGCAGTGTAGAAGAAACGGCTCTGCAGGATGGTTTGACTCCCTGTAGGTGAGCGGGGGGGACATCTGCAGTACGGAGGTTCAGCACTGCTCCTGTGGATGTGTGGTGCAGGCTGGCAGGGGTTGGTTAGGTCTTATCTTGATGGGATGGTTTGACAGGTACTGCATCACATTAAAGGCCTTACCAATCTTTCCTGTCACATCCAGCAGGAGGCTCACAGATAGCCCCCCCCCCTCCAGTGTTCCCTCCTCTCACCACGTTTATACACAACATATTTTTCTTCAGGTCTCAAAGACAAAGTAGAGACTTGTGGGTAAGACCATTTAGTTTGTCTTATAAGTCAATGAAATAGATCACAAAGCCAACCACTTTCTATAACGTGCTTTTATTTTCAGTATTGTTTTGACGGTCTTACTATCACAAGTGTTTCACTGCTACACAGCGTAGAGTCCTGAACACTGACCAGGCCCTACATGCACATCTGTTTCCAGCGGCACAAAGACTTTCCTGGAAAGCTTTTCATTTGAAACTTCTGCAAATGTCGTTGGGAGTTTAACAGCAAAACGGAAAAAAACAGCAGTGTGTTTGAAGCAAATTAGTGAATAAAATACTTGTGTGGCTCTTAAATACATATGCTAATTTCACCATGTGAACCTTTGTACTTAATCTTATTTCACCGAGTTAGCCGTCGCCTCCCGACAATGTTTGGATTAGATTAGATACAACGACAAAATGCACTTTACAGCTAACCAGAGTGATGTACATGTGTATAGTGTATGAATAACGAGTAAGGGCTACATATACGCTAAGAATTATATATACTGTATATACAGCAGTTGCCATACCATAATGTGATGCGCCTTAATGGTGGTAGATAATGATCAATGTCAGTGTATGTATTTCACCAATTCTCACTTAGATCCTATAATCTATGCTCAATACCTCTTTTGCTATCTTGACCTGCACGTCACTTCGTCAAGGTAGATTCAGGAACAGTTGGACAGTATCACTGGATGAATGCATAGCATAGAGTTTGGTGTAACTAGGACACTGTGTTGTCTGATGGTTAGGTGGAATCCACCCAGAGTATGATCAGGATCCTGGGACTGTCAGCCACTCTACCCAACTATCTGGATGTGGCCGCCTTCCTGCACGTCAACCCCTACATCGGCCTCTTCTTCTTTGACAGTCGCTTCAGACCGGTGCCCCTTGGACAGACCTTTGTTGGCATCAAATCCACTAACAAGGTAAACAGACAAAGATGATGTGAATGTATTTACAAACCTATTCTCTCAGAAAAAGGATTCTTCGTGAAAGGCGGAGGTTCTACCCAGAATATTTTGTTTTTGAAGAACCCATTTTCTTCTTTGTAGGACTATGGGTTCCATTAAAACCCTTTTCATCCAAAGAACCGTTTTACTAAGGAAGAGTTCTTCCAGGAATCCTCTCAGCCACACACCAGAAACATGTGATTGTGAACCATTATTGTTTTGGGTTGGCTGCACCACATCAGCCTTGTGGACATGGTTCTAATGGCCCCAGGCTAAAACTGAGCGCATTGGGTTCCTCTTAGCACTGTTAGAAGGATAAAAGGTTCTTGTTTTAACTCCCAGAGAGGATGAGACTGGATGGAACCAATACACCATAGAAGTGTTCACTGTAGAACCTCTCATAGGGGGTTCTGGGAGGATCCTTTCACAGATGATTTGAGGTAAAAACCTAAGAACCAAAACAGGCTCTCCTATGAGGATAAGCCAAATAAGCCTATATGGTTCTAGCCAGCACCTTTGTTTATAAGAGCGTATAGGACCCTGAACATTTTCATGCACCTGTGCTTTAGTTCTTCAAGGTGATGTGTGAATACAATATAGGTGCAAAAACCAAATATCTAAATCGTATTAGACTCCTCCACAGAACAGAACTTTGGCTTTAATCATCAATAGAAGAGTCTGACTGCTACATCGGCATGGCAGCATGGCCACTTGTTAGGACCCTTTCCTGTTAACAGGTGATTCATTTACATGTGTGTTTGTAACGATTACTGCTGGCATCATTATTTGTATTCCCCCTATGTTTAGAGTAAACCACCATTGCTTCATCAAAAGAGAAGTGTCCGTGTTATTCATAGTAGAGGATTAGTTAGCAGAGTATTCAAAGTAGGACCGGAGCATGCACACTATGTAGGTTACAAGTCTATGTGCCTGCGTTTCATGAGTTACTTTAGTGTTAAAACGTTGCCTGTCATCAGTGAAGATAAACTGCTTATTGTGACTATGTGTCCTGTTCAGATCCAGCAGCTTCATGACATGGAGGAGGTGTGTTACAACAAAGTTCTGGAGCAGGTTAAAGCCAGTCATCAGGTAAGAGCTCCTCTGCACATTGGAAGCTCACTTAAAGAATGCAATGTAAAGAGGAGTACATTTAGATGAGTATTCACTCGAGAGCTTTATATTTATAGTAACGCTACTCATTTCTACATGACAACTGTGGATTTTGTCTGACCTATGACCCAATGTAACAAAATTGTGATTCAAGACAGTTAATTGACTCAGTATATCAGGCCAATAAATGAGAGCAGATTATGTCGACTAGAATCATATCCACTGAACAATTCCCTTTTCCCTCCGAATGACTCATCTTCCTGATTCAGACTTCTCATTGAAAGCTGTTTTCCCAGCAGTCTACGTTCTGTGACTTAGTCTTATTAAGTAGCGGGTTCAGTTTCCTTCATACCTCGTTATGACTTTACTGAGACTGTCACTGTGGGATGTCTGGACTCGGCCCACAGTCATACTGGTGTAGCTCCAGAACACAGCACATCTTTTATGCTACTGGTTCCCTTGAAAATACTTCTTTCAAGTTTTTCAGGAATAGGACCTCCTGCAGTAAATATTTTTTGTGAACCGTTTGGAATGAACACCTGCTATCTAATGTGTCTGCAGTCCTTATCTCCCCCAGTGTTACCATTCCCCCTCCCCCAACCACCACCCCCTACTCATTCTGCTTCCACTCCACAGCCTCAGTAGGCCTATTGGGAGGATGAGAGTTGTGAATTCAGACTTTAGCGTTTAGCTCCCGTCTCCTGCAGGAGTTGAACTCCCTATTGAGCACGGGTGTTATCCTGTCTGCATCACTTTATTGCAAGTGTTCACACACACACACACACACACACACACACCCTTTTTCTCTTCTCTCTGGCCCATTATCTCCCTCAGAGACACAGTCTTGCTGAAGCCCCTCGAGAACTTGTAAAGCAACTTAATTCTGCACCACTTTAACTTTTCATCCACCTGGTTGAAACTAAATCCGGCTTGTAGGTTGAGGCCACAGCTCGGCTGGGGAGGCCGCGTCTTTTCTGATTATTAAATTGTCAAGAAGTGGCTGTGACATATATTAATATCACCTGGGAGGATCTGATGGATGAAATCTCCTCTATGGTTTTCCTACCACCCTCCCGGTGGGAAGCCTGCTGCCACAGAGAAGTTTAATAAGCCGAGAAGCCGGCGGTTACTGCCGACAATGCTTCCACACAGCTCAGTGGTGCTGATAAAACAACTTCAATAAATAACATTTGCTGCAGTGGTCTCTTTGGACCCTCTGTGTTTGGAGCTTACACACAGCTGGTTGCTGCATGTAGCCATGCAATATTGTTTGGTCTAATATTAGATTTCCATAATAAATGTTTCAAAAATACATAAGAACAATATCCACAGGGTTTTTCATAGCTATTTACAGGTAATTGTTGAAACCAAATCTGGGTCTTTTTCACAATTTCACTTATTTTATCAGTGTAAACAATGGGTTCATATGTTGTTTGACCCTTTATGTGTTTTTAATATTTTCTAGTTCCCCTACAGTATATGGCTGGACAGTGTATGCTCAGTGTGCTAACTTACCAACTGATGAAATGGATAGTCATTGGTAGAGTAGGTCGCTCTTATTCAGAAGATCTGCGGTTCGACCCCCGGCTCCTCCAGTCAGCATTTCAAAGTGTCCTCGAGGAACATACTGAATCCCAAAGTATGTGTGTGTGTGTGTGTGTGAATGTTAACATGTCTACAGCGCTTTTTTTAAATCTCAAAGAGATCTGTAGTTCTATTCCTTCCATATGGGCAATGTGCAAAGCAACATAAAAAAAGAAATCAAATCAAATAAAGCATCTCCGGTTCTTAATCAATACACTGTAATTATTAATTAGAGCACTGTAAGAACGCTGCCATCCTTATGAAAACATCCACACCTCAGTTGAAATCATTAACCCTACCAACTGTCCACGTTTTCCTTCATCTCAAATAAACTTGAAAATGAGAACCAGCCAATCGGAGGCAGAGCAGGGCGAGTCTTCGAGGAATGTCAGTGGGGGGAAAAAATCAACCAAAATACCACAAATAACTAACAGTCATTTGGATGAGAGGGCATTTCAACATTTCTAAAATCTCTCTTGCACATTCTCTGCTAGTGTGCCATTGGTTACGCTGCCGTCTGTTTACCCCTGGTCTACAATGGGAATTCCTGGATATTAAATATTAATCTGCAGTTTCCTTTAGTGATCCAGTAGTAGTGAGTTGCTAAGTCAATGATTGAGTACTGTCCTAACCCAGATGTAGAAGCCTCCTTAGGATGTAACAGAAGGCTGTTGGGGCCTATTCCTTTTGAAAGAGGAACAGACATTGGGGAAAGTCAAACACTTGAACACAAGTTGATCAAAGGCTCAGTAAGTCAGGGACAGACTTCATAGGGCCAGCCTCGCTCTGCTGTGGTCCAGCCAGAGAGCTCACTGTATGTAGAGTAAATGAAATGATAGCTTTACTAGATTTGTCTAACTCAGACTGCTTAAGCTTCATATCAGCGTCAGTCCATATGTTTTTCCTCACTTTCACTGGAAGCGTGTTCGGAAGAGGTCTGTTAAGGGCCATAATGAAATGATCTTCACATAATGTTTTAAGATGACTTTTAAAAAAGTGAATCATTTCAGAGAATAAACCCGTCGAGAGCATAAAAGGGTACATGTACAGATGCATCACCTAGGGCTGGGGAATGTATTAATATTATATCAATGTTGTGATATGAAAGTACATATTGTCTTTTGGATATTGTCATATTGTAATATGGCAAAAGTCCTCTCCTGGTTTTAAAAGCTGCATTACAGTGAAGTGATTTCACTTCTGAACATACCAGGCTGATCTAGCTGTTCTATTTGTATTTACCCACTTAGTCATTGTATCCAAATTACTATTGAATATTAATCAAAAATCTTATTGTGTAAATATATTGTGAAAGAGACAATAGTCAGCCAACAATATCGGCCCAAATCAATATGGAAGCATGTGGTCAAACATTTTGTAATGTATGATATCGTCCAGCCCGAGCATCATCAATTAAAGGACAAACCGTAGTAAATCAGTAAAGAACCATAACCAGTTCTGCTCCCACAGAGCACTGATGCGTATGAAAAATCGAGGCGTCAAAACGAGGACATATCTTTTGGAACAATGCTGTTCATCCCTGCAGTAGAGCTCAGCACACTGAGGAGCACTGGAGCTGTCCGAGGCTCGTAGTGGAGCATCATCTAACTAAGGCTTTGATGTGGGCTTTGACTTTCTTCTTTTTTTAAGAATATTTTATTTTTACAAGTATTTTAACAAAGCAAGAGAACATGCAGAGCATACAGAACGCAGTACATTAAACATTACAAAAAATGACATAACAAGTTAAGAAAAAGAAAATACACAAATAGATGAAATAAAATAAAGTAAATAAATAATTCCCCCCACCCAAACAAAAAAACAACAAAAAAAAGAAAAGGTTGGTACATAGAGTGACAGAGCACAAAGAGACTGCAATGACAGTGTATATTGTAACTCAGAGCTCTATAGTTACAGTCCTGTGGTACTGTTAGTGTTGTACCCATGTACTCCAAATAAGGCTGCCAGATTTTCAAAAATAAATGATATCTCTTTCTGAGACTATATGTAATCTTCTCAAGAGGAATACAACTGTTCATTTCCACAGACCATTTGTCCATGAGAGTGGGGGAATCAGACTTCCACGTCATTGCGATACATTTCCTGGCCACACATAAACAATTTCTGTAAGTTTAATTTGGAGCTTCGTTAAAGACCTGTTGAGAGTTGTGAAGTTTCCCAGTAAACAAAAGTCATACCAAAAGGACCTCACCTTTGTGCAAAGCCAGGTACAGTGTAGGAAGGAGCCGACCTCTACACCACATCTGAAACACATTTCTGACAATTCAGGTTTGGATCTATGTAGCTTCAGTGGGGTGAGGTACTGTGTGGGGTTTGACTTTTGACTTTTCTCCATCGATATGAGGTGAATGACATATAGACCACCACCACAAAAGCAGACTTGGGGTGTGGCCTAAACAAAGGGAGGAGCTAGACCATCTGCACGGTTACAATTGCAGAGCATTGGGGAGTCTTACATTTTAGCCAGTAACTTTAGAACCCATTGACTTCACATTAGAACTCTACAGATCAACCCACTGCAGTACCAGCTCAACGTCTCTGTGGATGAATTTCACAATTCTTGTGTTGAATTGATGTTCAACAAAAACATGTGGTGACGCTGGCTCTGATAAAGCTGAATAGCTGAGAATATAAAACATTTTAACATTTTATCTAGTGTTCTATAATTGTTTTGTATTATTATTGCTAATTATTACATCACAATCTTATACAGCGTGCTATGTTTTTATTATTTATACATATTGTATTTCTTATTTTATTTAACTTTTTTACCATAATGAATTTATTCAGTCATTTTATTTATTTATTTATTTATTGTTCTCAACTGAATTTGGTGTATATTCTCCCTTCTTGTTTGTATTGTCAGTCATGTGTAAAGCGCTTTGTTTGAAAGGTGCTCTATGAATGAACCTGATGGATTGATTGATTGACCTTGTGTCTCTGTGTGCCTCAGGTGATGGTGTTTGTCCACGCTCGTAATGCCACAGTGAGGACGGGCATGGCGCTGATCGAGATGGCAAAGAACCATGGAGAGACATGCTTCTTTCAACCAGACCAGGGTCCAGACTACGGCCAGTGTGAGAAGCAGGTAGGAGAGCTTTCAACAATCTCTCTTTAATCCCTTCATAACAGGCATGCAAACTTATCCCCTTTCCACAGAATTTATTTTGCTGTTTTTATATGAAATAGGTCACCTATGTGATTTTGCAGATTCAATGAGTTTTTGAAATTGGGATTAAGGGGGGTTCCATCAAACGCACCACAGTGTGTTTCAGAAGCAGCTCTCTGCTCCGCTCCACTGAGGTCAGCACAACAAGCCGATGGGCGTGATCGTCCTGCTAATGCTCATCCAGCTGCTGTGAACGTATAGCAGAGCGGGATGAAACCACCACAGCAGTAATGCACATGTACACTGACATACAGCCACGGTGGAACGCATTGAAGGGAAACTCTCCCAATCCCCTCCTTCTACTTTTTAATATTCTATGCATTTTGGTATTTTCAAATTCATAGCATAATAGAAGCTGTTCAGTTGTATTGCCTTCTGTTTACTTGTTTGTTCAGTGTTCATACAGTGCAATACACAAGTGTACACAGTATTCCTTGTTTTTATAATGAACATGATTTTCCAGAGTCAACAAATGCTGCTTCAGTGCCCAGCAGGGTGATGTGTCGTTCTTTGACACTTAAGGACTGGGCTATAGTAGAGATTGTTAGTGTGCAGTCACAAGCATTAAAATGAAAGTGAAAATGATGCTGGTTGCCAACACAAATAGCCTGTTAGCCTTGTTCCACCATCCACTTCAACACAACTGTCCTCTGTTAGCATGTAGCATGGGTTATAGCCAGACATCCAAGCTGCATCTCTAGAATAAACGTGTTGTCTCTTCAGAGATGAAGCTAGCTGCAGACGTGTTTACAGCTAGCTAGTGTTTTGAGGGTTAGCTTGCCGGCTACAGTAGATGGTCAACGAGCCCCAAAAGTCACTAGGTCACCAAGCTTCCTGTCCCACATATGTGCCGGTACATTTAGCTGTGACGCTTTTTAGCATTTTGGAATTCCATCGTTATGTTCCACTTACTGTGTCTCACCCAAACAAAACCAGAGGAAAAGTCACCGATGATTACAGCAGCAGAACTGAACATGTGGCCATTACTTTAGGTGTGAAATACAAACAATGCAAATCCTTTTCAAGGGAAAAACCTGGTTCTCCTGGACTTTTTATTTATTCAGACAGAGTGTGAGGGACTAACCTCTTTTCACTGCTACACATTTACACCGAGAGCTACACAGCTTCTGCTTGTGGGAGCTCTCAGTGGGAACTGGCAGCGCCCAAGAGAAGCCACATGACAACAGAAAAGAGGGCAGTGCATTTCCTGATTCACAGCTCATCATTACTGTCACTCCATACAACACAGTTGTGGTGCTGTGCTGCATGCATGAAAGCAGGACACTGATTGTGTGTTTCTGTGTGTGTGTAATTAATGGTCTCTGTGCTGGGACACTACACAGAGGTGGAGCTACATCCTCCCTCAGAGGATGGTCAGTCAGACTCCAACTCCCATATTTAAATATGCTGCAACAGAAGGCGGAGTGATAAATTTAGTAACCTTCTCCTTCGTTCCCTGGGGCCAGCCAAGATTGATGCGCCTCTAATCTCTCCTCTATTTAAATGGGATATGTATACAAATCAGATCACTTTTCATGCTTTCTAAAACTGGAAATAGAGACAAGAGATTACGCTATTGGACTAAAAATGGTGCGCCGCGGCCTGGTTAGTCTTTGAAACGGTACTTTAAAAGCAACTGTTTCCACCGTGTATGTCCATGAATGAATCTGGTTGTATATGCACTAACTGCATGGATTCACTCCTAGCCCCTCTGCCTGTGTGCCAACATAATGAGTATTATCCACTCCATTAGTCCGTCGTTGAGTGTTTGTCGGTCAGGCCTGCTCTGGCGAAGGAAGAGGCATCAGGCTGATTCCGCTCTAAGCCCACACAGATAATGCACTGCTTATTTGCACTCTGGAAATTGCCCCCGCATTAATATTTATAGGTGTTTTTTAATCTCCAATATGCATATGCAGTGAAATAAAGCACCTCTAAGGTCAGTCATATAATTTGGTGTTTATTTATCCAGCTTTGAAAGTCAGAAGTGATTCCACTATGTGTTTTTCTCTCCTAATGTTTTTTAATTGGCTTAATCTCGGGGGGTTGGAGAGGCTGTCAATCAAGCTTAGATATCTTAATGCACCACTCTAATCAATTCTTGTAAATACCATTTTTGGTGAATAATAAATACATTCGGAAAGGGCATTTTATACAACAGTCCTCCAGTCCTGCCTTTTGATCAACACTTGGTATTGAAATGGTGTATCATAAAGAAAGCTGTGTGTGGCTGTTACAGGTGAACAGTTCAAAATGAGGCTTTGACGTGCCCCTATTTCTTGGGTTGTCATATACCGGTATCACCAGCTGCATTGTTCAGCATTAACCCTGAGTTGGTCCCATGCAGTAAGTTGACTTATTATGGCCGGCTATAATATCTTTTAAATGATACTGAGAGGGCCTGCTCATTAAAGACATTTGTGCACAGTGCATGTCCAACTCATTAGAATGAGCACATTTATTTGGGAAGAAGCATAATGCCGGCCAGATTTAGTTTTTACAAACATAATCAGGAAATGCTGTTGTGAAGTGAAACGTTTGCAGGGATTGTAGTGTGTGAAGACTGAGAATGAGTGGTAGCACATTACACTGCTTCCCGAGTGTAGTTGGTGTTTAGAAGTGAGTGTTGATTTGCACATGCACATGTTAAGTGTTTGCCTCATGCTTGAAGAGGCAAGTATTTGAATTACCAATAACTAAGATCTTAAAAAAACAAAAAAGGTGACCTGTGTCAACACGGTTGCAACTAACTACTATATTCATTATTGATTCATCTGCCAAATCATTGCTGGATCAATCCTCACAACTAGTGAGTGGAACTAGTGACTGTCATTTTAGAAGTCACAATTACCCATCCTCCTGCTGCATCAGCACCACGGACAGCGCCATGGATTCATCGACACACAGCACAATGAGAGCCTCTTCTGGGACGCTCGTGCAACGCATTGTGGCGCATCAGGCAGACTAGACTAACACATTCAACTAAACAACCCCTCTGCTACTGGGGGACAAGGACATCTCATCCCCATTCATCACCCACTGGCTGTACACTGTTTGTCTTTCAGTTGTGGTTGGTCATTGGGTGGGAAATTCAGCTGTTGTTGGTATTAAAGAGGTATTAAAGCAGCTATGATATGAATCAGAAGGAACATGGATTTGATTCTACAAATGTTTATGATGTAGATGTAAAGAAGTAGCAAAATAACTGATGGTGTGAAGCATGTCATATTACCCCAACCTCTGCCTACAGCTCTCTCCAGAGAGTATTGTATTCAAGAGACCATTTGACTTTCATTTGCTCCAACTCCGACAATCCAGCCTCTACCTCCACACACACACACACACACACACACACACACCCCGTCTCCCTCGCGTTTGAATACCCAGAGATGGAACCATGTGACCGGTTCGAGAGGAGCTCTACTGTGGAGGTTAAGAGACACCTTGTGGTCCCATGAGTCCATTACACAGATGACGTTACAGGCCTGTCGTAGCTTATCGAGGGCTATGGAGCAGCTTCAGCACTACAGTATGCTTTCTATGGTGGGCATTCATGGCATGTGGAATGAAAGATGTGTCTGTTGAAGGGTATAACTTAAGAAGGAGTTTTGGGAAGTGATGCTGTCGAGATGTACTGACACACCCTCATCTTTTCTCTTTAAACTCTCCATCTCTGTGGTCGTCAGATGTGCAGCTTTCATGTCTTTCTGTTTGACAAGACACAGCGATGCCTGTGAGTGCCAGGCCTCCAGGGACTCCACAGCAGCACCAGCAGAGGCTCATTAATGTCTGTGTTTGCTTTCATTGGTGCTATTTTTACAAGTCTAGTCCACCACCAGTCCTTTCATTGTGTCAGATCCATGACAACCTGTCACCGTGCCAAACCAGCCCCCGGTACACTGATCTACAACAATGAGCTGCAACGCAAAGGCTGCTGGAAAATAGGAATGACACAGTGGAGTGACGAACACACATATCATAGAAATGGCCTTAAATAGAAACACGGCTCAGTAAAGTAGTGGGACAGTGTAAAGAAACCAGAGGACGTCTCCATCCAGTCTGACTATTCTGATACACCGTGTATAGCATCTCCATTTACCTTTTGAATTACTTCTTCATCAGCATAACGGCTGACTTTTTTTTGTCCAAACAAAAGGACAAACATGAAATGTAAAGGAACACATTTTTGGGGTACTTGCCATGCATGAAAACTCACCAAATTTTGGACACTTGTCAGGTCTGGTGAAAATTTTCATCTGAAGAAGGATGCATCCTTCTGTGTAAAAAAAATGGCTCTCTAGCGCCCCCTACAAATCGGCCCGGCGACGCCCCTCGGCCAGTATGTCCGATTTACTTGAAATTCGACACACATGTCCCAATCCGCAAGATCTAAAAAAAAAGCCTCTCAGACCCCTGAGCTCCGCCTACTTAGATTTTCAGCCATATTGAATTTAGTGTAAAACACATTTTTGCGAACTCCTCCTACATGCTTGGTCCGATTACTACCAAATCTGCTGTGGATCATTACCAGATCTACATCATCAAAAGTTATCAAAAGCTTTTTGATATCTCTTTTCGTTTACAAGATATGGACCAATAAACGTCTTAGGGGTGTGGCTTAATATCAATACACATAACCTCTCAACCGTTTGTCCTAAAATTACAATATTTGCAGCTTATGTGCACATCGCATGCTGTAACATACTCTGAGAATTGTTTTGCATTCAACCACTAGGGGGCGCTACAGTAAACCCACGAAGTTGTGCTTTTTGTCACTTTTTGCAGATTTCAGCCTTCATATTTTAACGAACTCCTCCTACAGATTTTAAGCGATCAACTTCTACTTTGGTCAGGATGCTCTTAAGACCTTTGTGATTAAAAGTTATCAAAATCGCGCGCTTTCATCGAAGAACCTTGAC